TGGAAACAATAGTTGCTAACGACGCAACAATTAAAAGTTAAATTGTGACGTTCTGTTTCCTAGATACTGCAGTCCATACAAATTCAACGATGGAGAGATTCATGTTCAATTCATTTTTTTTCTATGAAAATCAGTTAAAGTGAAATAAATGTCCTACCAGAAATAAGCGAATATATCATCCTTCATGTTGTAACCTTTTTTCCTGATTTATATTGTCTCTGGACACTTTTTTCGCCTAAAAACTACTATCGAGGTGAAACCGATTTTTTTTCCAACCTTTCATTTTGCCTGACGTCACAATGACTGTTTTGCTGAGTGTAAATTCGCATTGCTATTAGACGTGTCTCGGTATTTATACATCCAACATTCATGTACTTTGTTATGATTTTCCATTTGTAATTCTGGTTGGATGTTGTTTTATGTCTTCTCGTTTGTGGTTTTAATTCTATTTTTATTTTCTATATGTATGTAAAAGTAAAGATATTAATCACCTTGTTCATTTATATGATTTTTAGTTTAAAGCAACTATATGCACAAAATTTATTTGTTTTTACACAGTTTGATTTAGAAGAAAAACCGACATGGTTATAAAATACAAATAATTACACCATTACTACCACAATTCTATATCAATATTCTTGTAATGGTTAAAAAAACATCAAATAACACCATTACAAACTTAATCCAAATTTAATATTATATTTATAGAAATTTACCTGTGGCGTCACTTTTTTTGTGGCGTTAATACATTCTTGTGACGCACAGTTCATTATTCTATTGTGCTGTATTTGTGTTCTGTCGTAAATTAATAATTTTAGGTGTTCGTAGTTATTCTGTGGTTTACATGTTGAAATGGACTATTATATTATTTATTTATGTATTTCTCTGTCCTGAATGTTCTTGCATTTATTTGTACTGTATTCCTGTCACGTAATGTTGTCATTTTAGCGGTATTTTTAACATTGCCATATAAACGGGAGGTTAGGCTAGCCATAAAACCAGGTTCAACCCACCATTTTTTCTTTGGTTTGTGACCCAGATTTGTTTCAGTTTAATCGATTTATGACTGTTGAACAGCTGTATACTACTATTGCCTTTATCTATCATACTTTTCCTTGGCCATGGTATTTGTAGAACCCATTAATCATAGAAAATTTCTCCTCCAAGCGGAGATATCAGAATTTCAACTTATAAAAGCGTTGAAACAACTGCTAATAATAATATTGTGTGATGTTTCAATAAGTATCTGAAACTGAAATCATATAACCAAAAATATTCAATAACACTTATCTCAGCAATGGTATTTTGACAACCATCATTGAAATTTTACCCTTCTTCACGGTTGTGGGATTTTCACCACTGATAAGGAGTGATGATTTTTTTACTGGAGAATTTTGAATCATGGCACTAGAACAACGAAACCATAACAGTCAATGTTCGATATAAGGCGATTTTGGGCCGAGGGGGGGGGGGGGGAGGGGGGGTAAACTTTTATGGGGGTCAAGTACCAAATACACCAGGAAACCATCTAATATAAACGTTAATGACTGTCCTTTCCTAGATTTAGATATTTCAGTTTTACACAGGAACGCTTCACTAAAATTTACGACAAAAGGGATGATTTTTCGTTCCCTATTGTTATTTTTCCTTTTTTGGACGGTGATGTTCCTTTGTCACCATCTAACGGTGTTTATATATCACAACTCATTCTCTATGCCCATGTCTGTTTTTACGTTTTGGATCTCAATGAACGTAATCTATGTAATATTGGTAAATTATTAAGTCAGGAATTTCGTTACCACAAATTACTTAAAACCTTAAACAAATTCACCCAAAGATACAAAGATTTGGTTTGGAAGTTTGGTTGTAAATTTATTTCAAACGCAATAGCACATTCTTATTTTAGGGAGATGTTGCTTATCGAGCCCGCACATTTAGATTCGATCCGGGTAAACTTATAGATACTTCAAATAAACTTATTCTAAAAGGTTACTAGTTCAAGACTGTAATTAGATCTTTGAATATTATTTTACAGGTATTAATATTGATTTTGTTTGTTATCAGTAAATCAAAATCAAACTAAATATTATTTTTATATACATATGCACATCCATGGCTTTACAATCTGTCGATACCTGTATCTTGGCATTGCACTGTTAATGACGTCTTTACACTAAATCCATTTGATGTTGGATGTGTACTGATTGATATTTAGACTTAGATGTATGTATCATTTTTATTAGTTGTTATTAGCTTTGATCTGGTTGTCAATAACTGGGAGTACTCTCAGATCTGTATTAAGTGTCTTTTTTGTTGTCGGGATGTATAAGTACCCTGCCACGTCCGGTCTGTGTTTTTGTTAGCTGTATTTCTGCTTTGTATCGATCGGATGAGGTAAACCCTTTGCAACTGATTTTTATAGTTTGTTCTTATGTCGTGCTGTTACACCACTGTCCCAGGTTAGGGAAGGATTGGCGCTTTGAAACATGTTTAACCCCAAAACATTTTGTATGTGCCGGTCCCAAGTCAAGAGCCTGTAATTCAGTGGTTGTCGTATGTTGTTGTATATCATATTTTTTTTTATTCTTATTTCAATATTATTTTATACATAAATCAGGCCGTTAGTTTTCTCGTTTGAATTGTTTTACATTTGTCATTTCGGGGATATTTATAGCTGACTATGCGGTATGAATTTGCTCATTGTTGAAGACCGTGCGGTGAACTATAGCTGTTAACTTCTATGACATTTGGTGTCTGGTTGAGATTTGTCTCATTGGCAATTATACCACATCTTTTTATTTTTATATGTCCTGACAAAGGTGAAATCTAATTATTTCCTATGTCGGGTTGTTATTATTAGAACTCGTTAAAGTTGGAAGATTCTGGTTCAGGAATTCAGGCGCACCATCATTATCATTAAATAATATTAATTGCTTGTTGTTTGCTTAACGTCCGGTGGCAAATATTTCATGCATGTTCAGAACCAGAACAAATAAACAATAAATACAATAGGTAGGTTTCGGCCGAGAAGAGAGCGGATAATTTAGAATTCCACTAGAAAATTGGGGAATTTAGGATAGGAATAGAAATTTAGCCTTGCTATATGCCACCTAAGGACCAATCAAATAGTTGTTGCAAAGATTCTTAACATGCAGCAAGCGTGGTAATCTCCCTACAAGAGACATCGGATTTAACGTCTCCATTCTTATCGGACATGGCAAGGGCAATTAAATTGCATCAATCGAAAAGAATTCGCCAAAATCATTAAACAACGAAAGGACAAACAACAGTCTTCAAAACACTACGTTGAACACTTAAGACTGGAGTGGCCTTTAATTCATCCTGCAAAATATGGAGATATGCTGGTTTAATTGCGAACCAGACAATTGTCCACCTGATACAAACTGACGTGGATTTAAGGATCTACATGTAACCGTATGGCTTTCAAAAGTAACCAAAATTCATACCGCCGTATATTCAGATACTAGAGGCCCCGACATGAGACTTCTGAAAAAAAAAATAAAAACGGGGGAAAAATAGTTACCTGATTTATGGCACAACAACAACAGAAAAACAAACAAAAAACAAATATGACAGAGAGTAAACAACGACAAAAAGTGAATAACAGGCTCTTGACTTGAGACAAGCACATATAGAATGATTCTGATTTTGTAGCTTCGTCTTTTGTGCCAGGTTTTGATAAGTCAGTGATAACATTCTCACTATTGACCATAAATTTTATGTTTTTCTATAATTCAAACTGTTGGAAATTTTGACATTTGACTTTTTTTAACTTTTCTATTTTGAAATTTTTATGTGACATCTGTATAAAGTCATTTATTAATTTGTTCACATCATTTAAAATACATCAGTGACCAAGTCACCTTATTGTCACAGAGGAAATCTTAAATTTGACCTTTTTGTAAATATTTACAAATGTCATACACCAAACTCATAGATTGCTACTGGTTACACAAAGAATATCAACAAACTGAATATATAAGTTTATATATTTAATCAAAGTAATTTTCAAGCATAAAGCATTTTGAGAATATTTACATTTCACATAAGAGTTCGGACATCTCCGTGTTGGAAACATATTTGTACTTAAATACTTACTATATATTTTAATCAGTGGGATTAAATAGTGAAAAATAGAAATCGGATCCATTAAGTTAAAGAGTCGAAATGTATTTTGAATTTAAAATATTTACCACCTGTTCTAAAATAGTTTTTTGTAAGACAAAATTCAAATTATTGCAAACAATAAAACAAACAAACACACAAAGATAACTTGTAGTTCAATTCAAATTGAACTGCATTTTCTTGTAATTTTGAAGTATTTTGGTACAGTTTAGCGCCTTTTACTATTCTCTTTTTCAAGTTCAATAATAAGTTTACGATATAACCAGATATTTCATTGAGATTTCTTTGCAAGAGATACCATTAAAAACATTATATTAGACCTTCTTGTTGAAGACTGCATTTATGAATCGATTATTCAATAATTCACGCTGATCCATATTCGTATAACTTTTGGCCAGCAAAAATAAGATGTTTGCTCGTATGAAAAAGAATTTCCACAAAAAAGTCATGTAAATACGGCGGAACGAAAATAAAAAAAGAAACAGAGAATTCTTGGACAGTATTTCTTAATATAAGTGCAATACACCATTTCCAATAGTCTTTGCTGTTTCATCTTTTTACAATAAAAACAAATTGAAAGGTATATTTTAAAAATAAAGCAACCTTACGACATAAATGATTCAGAAAGTCATTGGGCTTCAACATTAGATAAGCTCTATAAATAAGTTAAGCTATACTTAATTCTATAAAAGTAAAACAATAATGTTAATCAAAATAGCAGTCACTTAATAATTTCAAACAAAAAATATATGGCATAAATAATTCTATATGAAATACAGCACTCTCAAATTTCATTATATATTAAACGAACAATAGCTAATCAATGCATTACACGCCTGATATTTCTGAAAACATCATTTGATATTTTCAATCAACGGTACGGAAAGTTTTATAATTGCTTTTCTGTCTATTTTCCCGGTACCGGTTGTTGGTAGGTCCTCCAAAAATATGATGTGCTTTGGAACGTATGCGTCCTCCAACATCTTTACATCTTCGTCAATTTTTATGGCATCTCTGGTAAACTTTTGAAGGCCCTCTGCGGTGACGTTGGCTCCTTTCTGCGTAAGTACTGACGCACATGGGACATCATCGTCTGTCAGTGGATGTTTAATAGGAAAGACTACTACATCCTTGACGTCTTTATGTTTTTTCATTGCTGCCTCAATAAAAAATGGAGCAACCTTAGAAACAGATATTTCCATTACGTCAGAAATCCTTCCAGACACCACTAATGAATTGTCTGCATCTATGTAAGCAAAATCGTCAGTTTTATACCAGCCATAAGGCATGATAACATTTTTCGTTTTATCTTCGTTATTAAGGTATCCTTGAAATCGAACTGGGGTTCGAATATAAACTTCTCCACTAGCTGGCGATTTCACGACCAAACCATTACGGTCAACAATTTTGAAGTCAACCCCTGAAAGTGGTGCAACTCCAAGATATTTGTGCGACAATGTTGATGATGCAGTATATATTTTTCCTGCTCCTAGTCCAAATTCTGTGGCTCCATACGCAACATCTAGATTGTCGAATGTCTTTCCCAACCCATCAAGAATTGTCGATGGAACAGGTTGACCTCCAGTCCAAACAGAGCGTATTTTTATCTGAATGTCTTGTCGATGCAGTAGTTGGTTTAACATCAGCGTGCCAAAAAATGCACAGAAAGGACGCTCTTTCTGTAGTATCTCTATCACATAGTTAGTCCCTACTGACGCCGATGTAGGTGCAAAGAGATTAGTCTGTGTTATACGAGTTCCAACAGTGACGATTTCCCAAAGTGGATATCCACCCATCCAATAAAAAGGTCGATCATTGAAGTAAACTAATTCGGTTTTATCAAATGATTCAGTTTGCAGTAAGTAGTGAGCATTGTATCCGATCAAAATAACGCTGAAGTGACTGAATTCAACCGCCTTCGAATATCCTGTACTTCCAGATGTTGACAATATAGCTGCAGTATCATCTGGGTCAACCTGTGGAAGATGAACATCGTTTCCATCATAGTAGAGATTCTGTAACGTAAATCGCTCTATTGCTTCCGTCGGTGGTGAGTGCAAGACAGCCAATTTCAAATCTGGAAATTCGCATTGAGTCACATGACCGTTTTGTGGATCAATAGTCATGAAATTACGAACGATTTTCAAGTGCCTGTCGCCTTCCCCTGGATCAAACATAATCATTTTGCAGTTGCCAACCAACTGCATCATTCTTTTGAGGTCGGAGCCATCTTTCATGTGAAATGTCAGATGGAGTGGTTTTGCCCTTGTCATCTGAATGGCATATATACAAATCAAATATTCTGCTGTGTTGTTACCAACAACACCAACGACATCCCCTTGATGAATCCCATAACGCACAAGGCCTTTAGCCAATCTGACGGATTTGTCATATAGCTCACCATACGTTATTGTTTTTGGTACAGTTCCCTTGTTGTAAATAATATAGGCTAGTCTTTTTGGATCCTCGTTCGCCCATTTTCTCAAAAGATTTGGAATAGTTGTATATGGCGCTAAGACCGGATCTGTGGATCGTACGTAACTATCCATTTTCTTCCTTCCTCTGCAAAATATGAATAATATTTACTTGTTGACTGTTGCTGCCTGACTATATATAAACATACATATAGCAAAAAGTAACTGATACTATGTCCTATTCAAATCACGTTATGACCTACATACGTCAATTCATACTACTAAAAAATTTGTTTACAATGTTATAAAATGGAACAAAATAGGTAATACAACGTTTAACAAGGACACATATTTTGTTCTAAGCTGATATGATAATTTAGGGTGACATGAGAGGGTATGGATGGGATTTACAAAAAAGAGAACAATGGATAAAAAAATAAAGAATAGAGAAAAAAGTCTAAACTTTATATGACGGAAGCGTATTTGAGACAAGGTAAAAATAAAGTTATCATTTCACTTTTTTTGTCAAAATTTTGACATTTAGACTTTGTTTAAAACTCAAATTTGGACACGTGTATTTACTTAAACTCAACGTTTTACTTTTACCTGTCAATTCAAAGGTGATAACAATCACAATATTAACAAAGGATTATAATTCGGGGTTAAAGAAAAGTATAACTTGAATATAACAGTCATTATCAAATATACCTCTTTAAATTGTGAATACATGTACAATACTTTTTACCTAGGCTAACGAGGACTTTCAATACTGTATTAAAATATCAATCAAAATATTTCCCCTTCATTTTGCTTTTTGATAAAAAAAAAACCAAACAGAGACTGTTAAGCCTTTTCACTTCAAATATCAATTATATCAGAGATATAGATTTTTGAAACCCATAAATTTGTTATATTATTCATATTTCTTCTTGATTATTCAGTAAAAGTCAAACTCAGCTAAAAATACTGATATGAACTTACTATGTATATGGCCAGTCTTAAGCATATTTTTGCGAAGGTCTTTTGGAATGGGAGACACTAAATTTCTAGACCAGTGAGTTTTACTTAAAACACAAACCATTTCTACCTTTAACATGTAATGATTGCATCACAAAACAAGTTTAAAAAAATCATTAAAACAATATTTTGTTGGTATCAAATAACATGTACATCCCTATATGATAATATCTTAACATGTTAACATGAAAACAAAACTATTCTAACAAGCTATATATTCATTGAATATGAATATTAACAAGATTCATTTATTACATGATGGATTAACCATAAACACATATTCAGAATGTAATCAAATGTAATCAGGATTACAAGGTATTTTGAAAAGAAATTGATTAAATAAGATAACATGTAATCAGATTTCTTGCTGATTAATAATTACAATGATTAATTGAAAAGTTGTAATCGATTACAGCTGATTAATGATTTCAGTTACAATTACACCAAACCTGGTCAAATGTAGATGGAAAAGTAATTGCAAGAATTTGATCTAGTGTTTTCATTTCAATTTTGTTTAATCGTTTTTTCTACTGAATTTTCCCCTACATGTAAGCTTCAGATAAAGCGGCTCAAAACGGCAGGTAACATGTCAAGTTTTCATTTTTATTTTGGCTTGGAAAAGTTTGAAGAATTCTTAAGTGAGGTAATTTAATTGTAAACTTATTATGTATACCATGTATTGTGTTCTCTCCAGTTTAATTTTGTTACTTGAACAAAGATTCAGCCATGGTATCACCACGATAGTGACGACATGAAATAAACTTCGATGAGGCAGCTTATATATACACTTTTTAGCTTTTGTAATTAGTCATCATAAGGATATGTCGACATTGATGTCGATTTCGTCGATGTCGTAACTATATATTGCTTTTTAGTCCACCATGATTTATTTCTCTTATTTTGGTTTAGTATGTATTGATTCGCTTATGAGAGAAAAGCTACAATATCATTTCAATAATTCATTCTTTTTCGTTGTTATGAACATTTTGTGATGATGGCAGATCTTAAATAATTTGTGTTTCATCTCTTCATAACTTGCTTAGATTTTAGACGGTTTAGGTGTTGACATATTGTATAGACACTTAATATTTTAAAGTCTAAATGTCTTTTAGTAATACTTGTTGCTGAGATGCTATTTCATTGACATATATCCAACATCTCCTTTATTCATATTTATATTGATACCTTAGTGTTACTTTTAAGTAACGTATTTTTATAAAAATACTTCGAAAATAACAAAAAAGAAATAACATATTTGAATACATGTATATTTAAAAACTAACTAATGTTATTTACTAAATAGTTCGATGTTACGTACATGTAATTTTTATTGAATAAGAAGTTCAAAGGAGATAGTTAAAACTACATGTAGATGTCAAAGATGATCAGCCACGACTGTAGTTCTTATTCAGGACACTTAATAAAGTGACTATATTTACAAATTTCTTCTTATTCATTCGTATCTGGAATATACCAACTACAATATAGTATTTGATGTCTGGATCAGTAAATTTACATTCCATGTTTGTTTATGACAATGAGTATGTAGTATATGAGTAATATATATATATATATATCAATCAGTATTGATAATAAATTGAATCTTAAAGTCCTACACTTCATACAGACTAGGTCTACATATACATACTGCATCTTATGTACCATTCTGAAGTAAATCATCTCAAAAGTTTCATCGTTATGATATTCCATTAAGTATAAACAAATTATACAAAAAACAAGTGTAGCTATTTAATATCTTATGTTATAAGAATTAATATAGATCAATATATCCAGAATTAAAACTTGATCCAGCGTGTTTTAAAAATCCTAAGATTTAAGTAATACTGTTCTGTGAACACTCATCTGATGATCTAATAATTTTCTTAAAAAAGAACTGGAGAAGGGTTACAAAGTTTATACTTCATTGTAAACTGTAAGATTTGAAAATGACCTTCACCCATCCTGATATCCATACACGTTGGATATTGAAGGACAGATTTTACAGAGGACCTGCCATGACGGAGCGAAGGTAAAATTGCATCTTTGACATAGAAAGTTCCTGTAGTCGAGGACCGTTTTTGTTGTCTTAACCATGCAAGAAAAATATTCTGATGACCAATTTACAAAGAACAGGCTACGAAATTTATTTTCTCATGCGTCATCGTCATAACGACATAAACAAAATTTCGTTTCCCCTTATGCTCTCCTCAAGCAAGGTACATATTGTTGTAAAATCGTTGAGTCAACATTATTTGAATCAAAGTTATTTGAATCTATAGAAAGCTGAAATGTTATACAAACAGACAGACTTCATTCAAAACTGGCTTATACTAGGGTGTAAGGGTAAAAGGAGGTGGAGTGAGAACTTGTCATAAGACGTTTTGGGTCTTCTTCAGTCTGTACTAAAATACCAAATAATATGTTTTCTTATATGTGAAGGCCTCATGTGCGATTTATTCCTCGTACTAATTGAACATCTGTCAAATAGACCATCGCACATCAGAGAAAGGTCCATCACACTTAAACGCAGACTATACTACTTTACGGCAGAACGTCGCATTTCGACGCAGACCATCTTACTGCAGCTTGACCACTGTTCGGAGTATCGTCATAAAATCGAATGAAAAGGGTTTACCGCGGAAAAGGTGTCTTCGAAAATTAAGTTGTATGTTTGTATTATACCTTTCTGCTATGCACATCTGGTATTTATATATTATAACCATGCAGAAATTTTTTGCTACACTTATATTCTGAATTAAAAGCAAAGAAAGATCTGAAAAGACCAAAAACGAATTAACTGTAATGAATATCTATATGAAAATAGACACAACAGCTTTAAAATTATCTAATGATTTTGAATTTCTTTATACCGGCATATTCCATGACAGTCGTCATAAATAAAAACATATCCGGAGTGATTGGAGAAGGCCGTACACGAATACAGTGCTCATACACCATACACAATGCGACTAAAATTTTTAAAATCGAGTTAAAAACTGACAACGAAACAGTTGTAACATTCTTACCAGATGATAAACCAAGATTGACAACAAAATGTCACTATTTTGAAGGAAGAGTTACGCTGATGAATATCAGTAAAGTTTCTGCAGAAGCTGTCATAATATTCGATAATCTTACCTGCAATGATGAAATGAACTATAGTTGTTCCGTTGTTTATCTTGACCAAAACAGTAGAACAGAAGAAAGTAATTCAGGAATTACAACGCTTTTTGTTAAAAGTAATAATGTAATGCACCTAAACCGACAAAAAGAAGATACAAATCAATAAAATAGAAATAACATCTTTAAAAATCGGACGATTTGAAATATAGTTGATAAAAAATTACCATTTATCATCATCCTTAGAATAAGATTCATGATCCATTATTAACCTGTCGGATCAACGCCGATTGAGCAAAATGTATATAAATGGATCAGAAATTAAAACAAATACTCTCGTAGTATGTTATATATGTGCATGCTAATATAACATAAACTTCTTGAACACAACATCATTATTGTTGCGTTTTCTAATAGCTCTCAATATTAATACAAAATAACTTGGTTATAACCGAAATAAACTGAAACGCATACCAAGACACGTATTATCTACATAAGTCTCATCAGTGGCGCTTTAATTAAAACAGGTAGCTGACAAATCAGATACGAAGTTGTAGAGCATTGGAAACAAAAATCCTCCAAATTGTCCCAATTGATTTGACATTGCACGAAATAGGATTCGATCTTAATAAACAGTATATATTCAAGGACAATAATAATAGATACACAGCCTGCTAGTGACCTAATACGATATATACGGGGTCTGTAATTTCCATATCGGGTGAAGCTCTCACCCCATATGTAATTTACTGACCCCATATTCATCGTATTAGGTCACTAGAACACTGTGTAACGAATTTATCTTACCGACTATCTTAACATGGGGCATTTAGACTAGGAGCCTATCAAAGTGATCAAGTCGTCAATATAAAGAACCTACTTCCATTGATCTATGCAAAAACAAATGCCATTAGTAACAACTTATTAGCTTTTAATGTGTTTTCTGAATGTATTTCAATCGTTCATCGTCAAGTTTTGCATCTGTTGTCCGGGTGAAA